GGCTTCCCAGATGGAGGAGAGAGTGTAAAGGTCCCTTCTGCAGGATGCAGTGTCCTGCCCAGAAGGCAGCGTGCTCATTTCTAGCTGCTATTGTGTGTGGTTGTTAGAGACAGCCTGGGGCTGAGTCAGCTGCTGTGGGTGAATTGAGGGGCACTGGGGGGAGTGAGCACTGCACACACAGCTTGAAGACCAAGTGCCTGTCCTGCCCTTACCTGGCTGTGGCCTTGGCCAAATCCTAGGTGGAGTATTGGGTATTGTACTGTGAAGGTGCAGAAGAGTACCTTTAGTACGTTACCATTTCTGTAGAGAGAGGAAAGGTGTGTGTGTGTGTGTGTGTGGCTGTGTCTGTGTGTGTGTACATACTATGATAATATACATGAAACATGTCTGCAAGGGTTCACAAAAAACTCAGGAGAGGGTAACAGGGCGGCTGGGAGACCCTTCCATGGTGTACCTTCTGAGTTTTGGACTATTCAAATGTATAATCCTTTCAAAAAGTGAACAAAAGATTAATTTCCCCTTCCTTTCTGTGCCCCCACGCCCAGAAAGGAAAATGGGCTTAGAGAATTGGATAGACCTGGGTGTTCAAATCCCAGCTCTGTCTCAGTGATCTTAGGCAAGCACTTAACCTCGAACACTCCATGTTTTTCATCTACACAATAGCGGTAATCCTAGTAACTGTCTCATATGGTGGCTGTGAGGATTACATGGGATTGCTAGTATGGAACCTGGTGAAGCACTCCATAAAGGTTCAAACAGTGGTATTAATAACAGTAATAACAACAGCAATGTTATCTGATCTCTCTGGGCCTCTGTTAGCCAGCTGTAAGTTCGATCTCTTTCCCTGTCCCTTCCAAGTTTACTGAGTTCTTTTAAAAACCAGGCCACGGGCTTGGAAATGCCTTGATCTTTACTGACCGAGTTGTATATTGAGCCTAGCCCTAGCCTTTTGAGGGGCACTTCCCGGGCTCCCCACATCAAAACTTCTCACTCTTCACCATCCAGTCCTCGAGCCGCAGTGAAGCAGTCCTCCAGCGGCAGTTACAGCAGACCAGAAAGGAGCGGGCGCTGCTGAACGCACACGTGACACAGGTGAGGCTTTGCAGAGGGAGGGATGTGGAGGGAAGATGGTCCCAGCTGACCAGGAGCAGGTGAGGACCAGTGACAGCCCTTCCTCACTTCTGTGGCCATTCTTGCAGGTGACAGAGTCACTTAAACAAGTCCAGCTGGAGAGAGAGGAATATGCTCAACATATAACAGGAGAGAGGGCCCGGTGGCAGGAGAGGATGCGGAAAATGTCGATGGAGGTGAGACCTGACCCTTCAGCGCCACGTTAGATGGGTCACTGGATCTTTCTGGGCATCTGTAAAATGGGAATAGTACAGCCAGAAGTGGTCATGGGTCTGGGTTTGTGGAGGTGGGGGCAGAGAAGAAGATGGTAGCTTGTCCAGTCACCAGCCCCTCTCTCCAGGGCCCTTTCCCCCTGTGCTTTGGGCAGGCTCACGCATTGAAGGAGGAGAAGAAGCGTGACATACATCGGATACAGGAGCTGGAGAGGAGCTTGTCCGAACTCAAAAACCAGATGGGTAAGATGGTGCTGGTGTGACCTGGGAGCAGGACTGGCATCAGAGGGCTGTGGGGTGGCTTAGAGTGCCCCAGGGAGGTGGGTGGATGGAAGGGCTTTGAGGCAGACGGAAAGAGGTCTGTGCCAGCAGCTGGCAAGTCTTGTCATCTCCATGAGCCTCAGGGTCCCCGTCAGCCAAGAGGAAGGAGTGCCCATTGTCAGCCACCCACAGTGCTCTCTATCTGACATGGCTTGGAAATTGGCTTCCATTGGGTGCGAGGAATCATTAGCAGTGAGGCCGAGTTTGGGAAGCCTGAGAGGAGCTGCATCAAAAGGAGGGCTTTTTCTTTGAGGGGGGGTGGTGGGTGGGGAATCCAGAGGCCCCTATTGTCTGCTTCATTTCTCAGCTGAGCCCCTGTCCCTGGTGGACCCAGCAGGGACCTCTGAGGTGGAACAGCTACAAGATGAGGCCAAACACCTGAGGAAGGAGGCGGAAAGTCTGGAGGGAAAGCTCCAATTCCAGATGGAAAGCAATCAAGCCTTGAGTCTCGTGAGCAAGGAACAAAAGCAGACGCTCCAGGAGCAGGAGGAGAGGCTCCGAGAGCAGCAGGAGAGTCTTCAAAAGCAGGAGGAGAGGATCCAAGATCAGGAGGAGAGGCTCCAAGAGCAGGAAGAGAGGAGGTTGCGGGAGGAGGAGAGACTGTGTGAGCAAAAGGAGAGGCTTCGGGAGAAGCAGAAGAGGCTGGGGGAGCAGGGTGAGAGGCTGCGAAAGCAGGAGGAGAGGCTGCGAAAGGAGGAGGAGAGATTACAAAAGCAGGAAGACAGGCTGTGGGAGAAGGAGGAGAGGCTGCGAAAACAGGAGGAGAGGCTGCGAATGCAGGAGGAGAGGCTCGCGCTCTCCCAGAACCACAAGTTCAACAAGCAACTGGCTGAGCCACAATGTGACTTGGAGGATCTGGTGGGTTGCCCCACCTGGGCAGCCTGCCCTCCTCCCTAGCCCTCCAGGCCTTTGTTTCCCCACCTGTAAAATGGGGCAGTGTAGCCCTCACATGACATGGTACTTCTAAAGGCATCTGTGAGCCAGAGCTCATCAGGCCCTGCTCTGATGGCTGTGGGGTAGAGGGGATGATTTTTCTACCCTACCTCCACCCTTTCCGGTGACATGGGAGGCAGACACCAAGTTCTGGGGTCTCCAGCTGCAGTGGCTGACCACTGATTGCTTCTCTCTGTCCAGAACAACAAGAATAAGAGCGCATTGCAGTTGGAACAGCAAATAAAGGAGCTGCAGGAGAAGCTGAGCGAGGTGAATGAGACGGTAACCTCTGTCCCATCCAAGAAGGGCTGGAAGGCAGGCACCAGCCTCTGGGGAGGGGAGGTGCCAGGCCACAGGCAGCTCCAGCTGGGGGGCAGGTGACCCTAGCACCCTCCAGGGCATATCCATGACTGTTTCTTGCTTCTTGCCCTCTGACTTTTAGAGGTGGGTAGCCCTGGGCTCTTCCCAGGTCTGGACATCATCTTCCCAGCTGGAGGCATGGATTCCCCCAATCATAAGGGTGGAGACAGTGGTATAAGAGGGTCCTTATGCCAGACACAGTGGCTCCTGTCTGTAATCCCAGCACTTTGGGATGCTGAGGCAGGAGAATCACTTGAAGTCAGGAGTTTGAGACCAGCCTGACCAACATGGCGAAACCTCATCTCTACTAAAATTATAACAACAACAAAAAATTAGCCCGGCATGGTGGCACATGCCTGTAATCCCAGCTACTCGGGAGACTGAGGCATGAGAATCTCTTGAGCCTGGGAGGTGGAGGTTGCAGTGAGCTGAGATTGCACCACTGCACTCCAGTATGGGCCACATGGTGACACTGTCTCTAAACAAAAGAAAAAAGCCTCCTTAGAT